ATCCTTTGCCCTCAAGTTCACGCTGGGTTTTCCTTCTGCTCCTCTCCCTTTTTTCCCTTTTGATTGTGGTTCAAAGAGTCCTTGTGGTTCACTGGGTGCTTTTGCCCCTGAGCTGGGCTTAAGTTAAACCCTGCTGGAGCTAAACCCAGCCCTAAAACACCTGTAGGGCTGTGGGGGCTCTGATCCCAAGGATTTGGGGCTGAAAATCCCAGAAATCCCAGGCCTGGATCCCATTCCAGGCTGAATTCCTGCCGCCCTGTCATTAGAGCTCAGAACCCGCCCTGGTTTGGGGTTTTCTCCTGCAGTCCCGGGAATTTGGGCACATTCAGCACAATTCCCTGCTTTTCCTGCCCAGTGGCTCCAGGAGATCAGCTGGGAATTTTTAACCCCATTTTCACCCAGTTTTTGACCCAATTCAAGGCTGCCAGCCTGATTTGGGGAGGAAAATGCTGAATTCTCGATTTTTTTTTTTCTTTCTGCAGGATGTGAATTTAAACCTGGGAAGGGTTTTGGTGTTCTACTCCCGATATTCTTCATCTCTGCATCCATAGCTCCCACATCAAATCCTGGGACAGCCCAGGGGATTCTGGGGTGGGATGAGAGCAGTGACTGGGGACGCCCAATTCCAGCTGGACAAAATTCCCAGTGCCCTTTACACTGAACACAAGAATTCCCCTGGAATTTGGGGAGGAAAAAGCCAAATTCTTGATTTTTTTCCTTCAGGATGTGACAGTTCCCAGTGAGTTCCTTGATTTTTTTTTGGGAAAGGCCCAAGTTTTCCTGTGAGTTCCTTGATTTTTTTGGGAAAAGCCCAAATTTTCCTGTGAGTTCCTTGATTTTTTTGGGGGAAAAGCCCAAATTTTCCTGTCCCCCAGCACAGCAGAGGGACAGCGTGACCCCCCTTGGGTGCTGCAGTGGCGGAGGTGAAGCTGCTGTGGGGTGAAACCCCCAAATGTGGGGCTGCCCTCAGCCCTCAGCCCCACTCTAATTAACAGATTTACTAATTTGGGACTCATTAATCCCGGAGCATCCCAGGGGCAGCTTGTTCCAGCTGCTCCTGAGTGGCAACCAGAGGGTTTCTAACAGCACACAAAAGGAGTTTGACAGCGGCAGGAATCACCGGGAGGGATTAAACTTGAAAGAGAAATAAGGAGGAAAAAAATCACATTAAATCATTTTAGAGCTTATAGAGATGGAGCAGGGAAGGAAGCAGGATGGGGACGCTGGAAATCAGGGATGGGAACACTGGAAATCAGGGATGTCACCTCTGGGGCTGGGTTTTCCTCACCAGGGCCTTTATTTGCTTTCCAAATATTTGGCTCCAAACCCTGAGGGGTTCCTGCCCTGACATGTGGGCAGTGCCAGGCCCTCCCTTCCTCTTTTCTCCTCCCCTTCCCTCCTCCATTTAGCCCCCACTCCCTCCAAAAAAACCCTTGGAATTCCCACCCAAAATCACGCAGCACTGCGAGGAAGCAAACCCTGCCTAATTCCTGGCAGTTTTTCCGAGATATTTTGATTTTCCAGGGGCAGACTGAGCCACCTCCAAAGGCATTTCCAGAAGTTTTCCCGAGCCCCAGGTTCACAGGGAAGAGCTGGGACAAACCCCGGTGTTTTGTGTATTTTTGGGAGCTGCTGTTTATTTGTTTTGGGCGCTGATTTGCCAAGGAATTTGCTTCGGTTTTCCCACAGAAACATCCCAGGGTTTTTTTTTCTCCTGTTTCTCCTTTTATCAGCTTGAGGCTCAGCAATTCCCTGTGGGAATGTGCTGCTCCCTGCACACTGGCCCTAAAAAAGGTGATTTTATTATTTTTCCTGCCTTTTGGAAAATCCTTGTCCTTCTGAGTCCCATGAAACCCCCACAAATAGAACGAGCTCCTCACATCTCACCTCCACCAAAGGTCAACTAATTCCATTCAAACCACACCAGATTGGGGCAAAAACATCAAAAAAAAAAGCTGTGAAATCCATTTTTCTCCTCACATCCCAGCTCTGAAAGCAGATGGAGGGGTGGGGCTAAAAGGAGACAACTCAAACCCAGAAAATTGTCAAAATCCAGCAGAAATAATTCCTCCCCTGCGAGGTTCTGGAGCAGGGAGTCCCAGCTGGCTCCTTCCACCTCGAGCTGAGCTTCTTCTTGGGATTTCCACTCCAGCAGTGCTCGAGGAATACAATAAAAATTAATTATTAAAACAGCAGGATAAAAAAAAAAAATCATCTGCCAGGGCGCTGAAATATTTTTAGCTGATTGCTGGAGTTTAGAACAACAACAGAAATGGAGTCGTGGAGCTCCTCTGTGGGGATTTGTTGGGCCTGGCCTTGGCTTTGAGGGATGGAGGTTTCCCAGTGTTCCTCAGCCAAAAATCCAGGGGTTTGGGGTGAGAAAATTAAATTATGTGGATTTTCTTCAAGTCAGTTAATCCTGGAACTTTTTTGGGGAAATTTTGAGTAGAAAGAGCTCTGGGATGTGAGGCCTGTGGGGCCTGGGCTTGGCTTTGAGGGATGGAGGATTCCCAATGTTCCTCAGCCAAAAATCCAGGGGTTTGGGGTGAGAAGATTAAATTATGTGAATTTTCTTCAGGTCACTTCATCCTGGAACTTTTGGGGGGAGTTTTGAGTGGAAAGAGCTCTGGGATGTGAGGCCTGTGGGGCCTGGGCTTGGCTTTGAGGGATGGAGGATTCCCAATGTTCCTCAGCCAAAAATCCAGGGTTTTGGGGGAAGTTTTGGGGTGAGAAGATTAAATTATGTGAATTTTCTTCAGGTCACTTCATCCTGGAACTTTTGGGGGGAGTTTTGAGTGGAAAGAGCTCTGGGATGTGAGGCCTGTGGGGCCTGGCTTGGCTTTGAGGGATGGAGGATTCCCAGAGCCCCTCAGACAAAATCCAGAGGTTTTAGGGAAGTTTTTGGTGAGAAAATGAGAATTTCTTCAGGTCTCTTCATCCTCCAACTTTTTTTGAGTTTTACAGTGTAGGGAAGTCTGGCGGGTTTGGAAATTATTTCCTGAGAGGTTTCCTGCAGGTCTGAGCAGGCTCTGGGTCACTTTTTTTTTTTTTTTTTTCCCCAATCATTTTCCTGAAGCCCTTTTTGATAAAGATTTTATCCCTGAGGTGATAAAACCCCACCTGCTTTGGATCAGCACCTTCCCTTGGTGCCGAGCTGGGAAATTCAGATTTCCAGGGGAGAAATGGAAGTTTTGAGTGGAAAGAGAACTGGGAGAAGTTGTGGGGTTACACTGTGGGAATGCCTGGGCTAAAATAGAAAACGTCCAAGGTGCTTTCCCTGCAAACCCCACAGGAGCTGGGATATTTCCAGGCAGATTTATGGAATCTCTGGTGCTCCATCCTCTTCAGGGACAAAGTTTAGAACACTCAGCAATATTCTTATACTAATAATATATATGTTTATTTCTATATATTAAATAAACGAGAGAAAGGGAGCAAAAGGAGTGTGACACCCACAGGGGCAAACAGCACAGGGATTTAGGGAAGGACTGATTTGAGGATTTCGGGAAGGACGGGAGCACACAGGGCAGGATGCTGCTGTGGTTGAAATTTGTTAATCACAGGAGGACACGGGGACACCTCACATGTCACATCCTGGGCTGGCAGGTGGTTAAACTTCACCCTGGGATCAGGAGCTGGGCTGGGTCACACCAGGAGATTTTTTTTTTTTTTTTAGGGCCATCAAGTGGAACTAGGGGATTTTTTTAGGGCCATCAAGTGAAACAGCCTCATAAAACGCCTCTGGGGGCCGGCTGATTTATGGAGGGCACAAACAACATCCCTCCCCCGGTGCCACTTAACTTTTCATTTTCTATCGGCCCTAATTGCTGGGGACATGTGGGGAAGTCACCCTGCAGCCCCCGGGGAGCCGGGGCACTGGGAGCAGCCTGGCATGGGGAAAGGGGGGCGACGAGCTGATTTTAAAGTCCTTTAAAGTCCTTGTCCAAGCATTCCATGGTTCCACGGGTGGCTCTGTCACAGTGACAGCGATGTCCCCAATGCGGGTCACCCCCGTGACCTGTGGGGTCCCAGCGGAGCAGGACCGGCCCTGCCTCGGTTTCCCCAGTGGGGAGAACCCAGGAGCATCCTCGGGGTGGAATTTGGGAGGGAAATGCCGAGGTGCCACCTCTCTTTGAGCACCTTGGGGTGCAGGACGGAGTGAGGGACACCCCGGGACAGGGCTGGGGGTGACAGGGAGGGAAATGCCAGGGTGCCACCCCTCTTGGAGCACCTTGGGGGTGCAGGATGGAGGGGACAGGGCTGGGGACAGTGACTGCCCGAGCTGGGGGTGACAGGCAGGGAAATGCCACCCCTCTTTGAGCACCTTGGGGGTGCAGGATGGAGAGAGGACAGCCCAAAGCAGGGCTGGGGACAGCTGCCACTCAGAGTGGGGGGTGACAGGGAGGGACAGACCCTCCTTTTGGGCATCTTGGGGGTGTGGAATGGAGTGAGGACAATCTAGAACAGGGCTGGGGACAGCTGCCACTCAGAGTGGGGGTGACAGGCAGGGACAAACCCCTACTTTTGGCATCTTGGGGTTGCTGGATGGAGCGGGGACAGCCCAAAGCAGGGCTGGGGATAGCTGCCACTCAGAGTGGGGGGTGACAAGGAGGGACAAAATCTCCCTTTGGGCATCTCGGGGGTGCGGAATAGTGTGAGGACAATCTAGAACAGGGCTGGGGACAGCTGCCACTCAGAGTGGGGGTGACAGGCAGGGACAAACCCCTACTTTGAGCATCTCGGGGGTGCGGGACAGAGCCAGGGACACCCCGCCACAGAGCTGGGGACAGCTGCCAGTGCCGGTGAGGGGGTGGCGGGGCCGGCTGCGGTCCCTACACCTTTAAAAGTCTCCTCACGTTGCGGCGCTGATTATCCATTAACCGAGGCTCCCTTTCCTGGGGGCGGCGTTCGCACCGAGCGCTGCCAGCAGGGCGGGCGGGCGGCCGCGCTGCCTCCCTGCCTGCCTTCCTCCCTTCCTTTCTCCCTCCCTCCTCTCCCCCCTAACCCCCGCTCCCTCCTTATCAGCAATTCAGATTGCATGCAAATCTGCGCGCTTTCTTCCAGGGCCGCGGCGGCGAGCGCCGAGCGCTCCTCCAGATCTCCTCCTCCTCCTCCTCCTCCTCCTGGGATTTTCCTCCTTCTCCCCTCCCCTCGCTCCCTCCCTCCCTCCTCTCTTTCTTTCCTCCTTTTTCACCTCCTGGAACAAAAGTGGCCCTTTGGGCTGCGCCGGCGCTGCCTTGCGAGCGCGGCCGCTTTGTCTGCCGGGGTCAGCGGCACCGCCACCGCCACCGCCATGGGGACACGGCGGGCGCTGGCAGCGCTGGCACTGCTGGCGCTGGCGCTGGCCAGCTGCCCCGAGCGGGAGCTGCAGCGCCGGGAGGAGGAGGCCAACGTGGTGCTGACGGGCACGGTGGAGGAGATCATGAACGTGGACCCGGTGCACCACACCTACTCGTGCAAGGTAGAGCCGCGCGGGGGAACTTTCGCCCCGTGCGGTTTGGGGTGGAATCGGGGTTTTTTTTTTTTTTAAAGGGTGGAGAGGTTCCAGCTGCTGTGTGGCCGGGGGGGGTGGTGGGGGGGATCTCCAGAGGTTGCTTTTTATGGGCATTTCCCTCTTTGGCGTGATGCGGAGCTGCCTCCCAACTTTCCGGGAGCCTCTGCTGTTGACTTTAGCAGCATCTCGAGTTCCTGCAGCCCGAGCTATTGTTTAACCACCAACCTGGCCTCGGGCTCCGGCGTTTTTTTATCTCCCCCCGAAGCGGGGAGACGCTGAAGTCCCGAGCAACCTGAAATCCCATCCGCCAGCTTGACAGAAAACGTGCCGGATGCCTTAACCCTTGCCGGGGCAGGAATCCCGCCTGCAAGGACACGCTCTTCCCTCGCCTTTCCCCCTTCTCCCGGTTCCCCTTTTCCTCCTGAAAAAACCCTGCTTCTGCCTGGTGCCCAGCGGGGCCGGGGGCGATGCTTTGGTGGCAGAGAGGAAGGCGAACTTTCCCCGGAGCATCCCCAGCCCCTGCCCGCCCCGCTGGTGCCCGGTGCCCGCTGCCAGCGCCCCCCGACCCATCTGCAGCTCGGCAAGGATCGCAGCCCCCCCGGGCGAGAGCCGGCACCGTCTGTTTGCGGTGTCTGGCACATCCTGGGTGCTCCGCCGAGCATTAATGAGCTGTGCCCGTGGGGCGCAGATGGAGGTGGCCACCTGAGGCCGGCGCGAGGTGGCCACGGGAGGTGGCCCAGTGGCGCTGGTGGCGGGGCAGAAGTGCCAGGGTGGGAGGTAAATCCTTTTTCTCCCGCTGCGGACTCGCAGCGAGGTGTCTGCCTGGCAGAAAATCATCCTGCAGCGGCGGGGCAAGACCCTGGGGCAGGGAGAGCTGGGATGGGGGGATAGCTGGGATGGGGGGAAAGCTGAGATTGGGAAAAGCTGGGATTGGGAAAAGCTGGGATAAGGAAAAGATGGGATGTGAAAAGCTGGCATGGGGGAAAAGCTGGGATAAGGAAAGCTGGGGTGGGAGGAAAGCTGGGATAAGGAAAAGATGGGATGTGAAAAGCTGGCATGGGGGAAAAGCTGGGATAAGGAAAAGATGGGATGGAGAAGAAGCTGGGATAAGGAAAAGATTGGGATGGGTGAAAAGCTGGGATAAGGAAAAGCTGGGGTGTGAATAGTGGGATGGGGGAAAAGCTGGGATATGGGAAAAGCTGAGATGTGAAAAGCTGGGATAAGGAGAAGCTGGGATAAGGGAAAGTTAGGCTGGGAAAAGCTGGGATGTGAAAAGCTGAGTTAAGGAAAAGCTGGGATGTGAAAAGCTGGGATAAGGAAAAGCTGGGATGTGAAAAGCTGGGATAAGGAAAAGCTGGGATAAGGAAAAGCTGGGATAAGGAAAAGCAGCTCTGCCTTTGCAAGGTGCAATGCAGCCCCAGCTGGAGCAGCAGGAGTGGGATGGGGCTGCCCGTGGTGGCTCCTGTGAAGCACAGCCTGAATTCCTTACACTGGGAAGGGAATCTCTTCTCTGCCTTTCCCTGAGCAGTGCCCGGGAGAGGTTTGTGCTGCTCGCCCTGGAGTTTGGGATTTTGCTCCTGGTCTCCAAAGAGCACAGAAGGGCCAGGACAGGTTCCTGAGAGATCATTCCAGCCTTGGAGTGGTGTAAAAGTGAAAGCAGGAAAGCTCCCATCCCATCCCATCCCATCCCATCCCATCCCATCCCATCCCATCCCATCCCGTTGTGGCAGTGCTGTGACATTCAGGAATTTTCACAGGACAGCAGTTCCCTGTCCCCTTCCCTGCCCATCCTGTGTCATTTTTAGTGGCATTCCGTGGGTCTTTGCAGGGGAAAACAGCTTTGGAATGGGATTTGGGGTGTCCCGAGGAGCTGGGAGCAGATGAATCTGCTGTCACTGCAATGACTTGGGGATGTGCAGCTTTGCAGCAGCTCTTGGCTCATTGCCCTCCTCGGATCTTCCCAACTCTTGGAATTGGAATCGTGCGGCTTTGCCGTGCCTGCAGTTTATTTTGTTTTGGTTTGTTTTGTTTTTTAACCTAAATTCCAGTAGCAGCTCGGGATTAAACGTGACCCCTGGCTCCTGCTGCCCTTGCTCTGCCCCCGGGGGGAGCTGGGAGAAATCCAGGATCTTGTGCTGAGGAAATTCCTGCCCCAATTCCTCCCGTGCAGAGCCGGCCGTTATCTCCTGTCAGCCTCTCCCTTATCTGCGGAGGAAAGGCGAGGGCCCAGCGCGTGCGGGGAGCTCCCACACCCAAAATCCCGAGGATTTCTGGAGCTGGGTGGTCCGGGAGGCAGCGGGGATCCGTGAATTCCGTGCTGGGGCATTGTTCTCCCCAGCCCGGCTCCAAAGCCTCCCAGCCGAGCGCTGCGATGGACGCAGATAAGCGCCGGGAGAAATGTGAAGTTAATGTTAGATAAACACCCCGAAATAGCTGCGCTGCCAGGGGAGCTGGGGGGAGCAGGAACAGCGCGACAGAATTCCCAAAAAGTGGCTGCTGTGCCCTTTTTCCAAGGGATTTGGCATTCCTGAGGGCAGTTTCTGACTTCTGCCCAAAGCTGCTGCTGCTGCTGGCATTGTCCCCTCCTGCTCGGGCCCCCTGAAGTGCCTTTTTCTGGGCTGTCCCGATGGCTGGGAAGGCAGCTGCTATTTATAGGGTAAATCCAGGTTCTGTGAGTGCCGTAGGAAGTGTGGAAAAGGATGTGGATCCTGTTCTGGACAATGGAGCACAGATTTTGGGGGGGTTTTGTGGGAATTGCTGGGTCCTGGAGGAGGGACAGGGAAAAGACACAGAGAGAGAAAAAAGGGGAGGGGGAAGGGTTGGAAGCAGAGCTGATCCTGGCTTTTATTTCCCAAAATTCCCAACATTTCATGGAAGCAGAGCTGATCCTGGCTCTTATCTCCCAAAATTTCGTGGATGCAGAGCTGATCCTGGCTCTTATCTCCCAAAATTTCGTGGAAGCAGAGCTGATCCTGGCTTTTCTCTCCCAAAATTTCCCGGTGACCCCTTTGGGTGCTGCCCATCCCGAGTGACAGCTCCTCCAGAGGGGACTTCGCTCCAACTCCTCACCCGGCGGAGTTTTCCTGGCAGGAATGTTCCTGTACAGGTGGTCCCCATCCCTATTACGGCATGTTGGAAAATCCTTTTATTTCTGGGATTTCCAATTTTCCCCCTGCCCGGATAAAGTTGTGGCTGCTCCTCCTGCGCCTCCGCGGAGCTTCAAAACCCCCTGAAAATCCAGCGTTTTCTCTTCTCCCTGGAAAAGCAGAGCGCTCCGGGGCAGGGTCCTCCTCCAACAGGTCCCGGCCCCATTTTTTCCCTGTCTCCCTTCCTTTTCCCCCCCATCCTCGCTGCCGCCGGTGAGTCAGCGGTGACAAAGTCTTAATTGCGCCGCGCTGATGAATGGGATGCCCGCAGGTAATTGCCGGGCTTTGGTGCCTCGCACATCCATTCATTAGGGTGGGGAGGAGACCGCTGGACTCTGATGTTCCTGTGGCCTGGCTCGGCGCTGCCTCAGCGCCCCAGCCACGCCAATTAACACCAATTCCCATCTGCTGCAGAGCTGGGGGAAGAATTCAGCTTTTCCCCACTCAAAAACACAAAACCAAACCAAACCCCGAGCTGTGAAAATGCCCCTTTCGGAGGCAGCCTCGGGCTGTGTTTTCTGCTGCTGGAGGAGGGGCGGTTTGTTCTTATTTTTCCTCCTTTGTCTGGCTGGGTTTTTGCCCCGGTTTGCTGCTCACCTCCTCCGGAGCCTGCCCTGGGGCTGCGGGAGGTGCGGCTGCGGGGAGGTGTCTGGACTTGACTGCGGGGAGAGAGCAGCTCAGGGCCGGGCAGGAGGCAGGAGGAGCGGCTGGGGAGGCGGCAGGGCTGGCTGAGAGCCAGGCTGTGCCCTCCACACCTTGCCCAGGCTCACCTAGGCTGCAGGGCTGGCTGAGAGGGGGCTGTGCCCTCCACACCATGCCCAGGCTGGCTGAGAGCCAGGCTGTGCCCCCCACACCTTGCCCGGGCTGGCTGAGAGGGGCTGTGCCCCCCACACCATCCCCAGGCTGGCTGTGCCCCCCACACCATCCCCAGGCTGGCTGTGGCCCCCACACCTTGCCCAGGCTCACCCGGGCTGGCCCGTGCCACTGGAGGTGCCACGGTTCCTCTGGGGTCAGGGGCAGGGAGGATTTTCCCAGCCCTTTCAGGGAGTTCCGGAATGGTTTTGGGGTCAGGGGGGGAGCTGCAAGGGGCAGAGTTCAACTTTTATCCCTGCAAAAATCCCAGCTGGGCAGGCCTGGGGTGCCCCAGCAGCCTCTGGGGAGAAGGAAATGTCCTGGTGTCCATCCCGAGCCTCTCCATCCCACCCAAACCTCTGAATCCAGAACCTCTCCATCCCGAACTTCATCCCGAAGCTCTCCTTCCCGAACCTCTTCATCCTAAAGCTTTGCATACCCGATCTCTCCATCCCCAATCTCTCCATGTTTTTAATTCTATTTTTATAACTCTATTTCTTATATTTTTAAATTCTATTTTTATAACTCTATTTTTATATTTTAAAATTCTATTTTTATAATTCTATTTTTATAAGTATATTTTTATAATTATATTTTTAAAAGTATATTTTTATAATTCTATTTTTTATAATTATATTTGATAATTTCTTATAATCCTATTTATATAATTCTATTTAATAACTATATTCTATAAATATATTTTTATAATTCTGTATTGCTATAATTACATTTTTATAACTATATATTTTATAACTATTTTTATAATTATATTTTTATAACTACATTTTTATAATTATATATTTAAATTTTAGTTTTATAACTATATTTTTATAATTCTATTTTTTTTTTCCAATTATTTTTTCATTTTTTCCCCCCGGGGGACCCCCGCTGGAGCACAAGCCCGTGTGGGGACACGTGGCTGAGCTCTCCACGCCTGGGAGCAGCCGAGGCATGTGCGCTGCAGAGGAGCTGTCACAGCCCCGGCTGCACCTGGGCTGCTCCTGCAGCTCAGGTATGCGGCGGGGCACGCCAGGCTGCAGCTGTTGCCATGAAATTTGGGGGAATTTATTGCTTTTTTCGGATGGCTGCGCTGCCTGGGAGCTCAGACCCCCCAAAGCCGGGGTCCTGCTGCGGATATTCCACCAGCAGGACACGGTGTGAGCAAACCGGGAGGCTGAGAGGGAGAGATAAACCCCAAAACCCCAAAACTCGCTTCTCAACCCCAATCTGTGCCCGCAGGGCACAGGCAGAGCTGAATTTCAATTTATTCCCTTTTCCTGCTTGGCAGGTGAGGCTGGGCTGGCTCCTGTGGCCGCGGGGAATGCGGGAATGACCCTGTGGGAATGACCCCGTTCCCAATGTGGGAATGACCCCGTTCCCAATGCGGGAATGGCCCCATTCCCAATGTGATAATGACCCCATTCCCAATGTGGGAATGGCCCCATTCCCAATGTGGGAATGACCCCGTTCCCAATGCGGGAATGACCCCATTCCCAATGCAGGAATGACCCTGTGGGAATGACCCCATTCCCAATGTGATAATGGCCCCGTTCCCAATGTGGGAATGACCCCATTCCCAATGTGATAATGGCCCCGTTCCCAATGTGGGAATGGCCCTGTGGGAATGACCCCATTCCCAATGTGGGAATGGCCCCCAATGTGGGAATGGCCCCCAATGTGGGAATGACCCCATTCCCAATGTGGGAATGGCCCCCAATGTGGGAATGACCCCATTCCCAATGGGGGAATGGCCCCCAATGTGGGAATGACCCCATTCCCAATGTGGGAATGGCCCCCAATGTGGGAATTCCCCATTCCCAATGCGGGAATGGCCCCCAATGCGGGGAATGGCCCCGTTCCCAGTGTGGGAATGACCCCATTCCCAATGTGGGAATGGCCCCATTCCTGTCCTCCCCGCCCTGCCAGGGACACTCTGCAGGAGTTTGGCTCAAGCCCAGCGTGAACTTTGAAGCCTTTTTGATCTGGGTTGAAATTCTGGAGTTCAGGCTGCAAAAGAACAAAAAAAAAATAGAAATAAATTCCTGGGATTGATCAGGGATCACAGGATTTGCGTTGCCCGGGGCCCCCAGCGAGGTTTCACCCCCTGGGTTGAACTCTGCAGCCTCAGATCTGGGCTGGAGGCGCTCAGGGAGGAATTCTGGCACGGGGGAGAAGTTTCTGTGTCTGAACAGCCCCTCGGGTCCGGGGGGACACCTGAAGGGCCACCGGGGCACGGGCAGAAAACCGGGAATGGTTCCTTTGGCAGGGGGATAAAATCTGTCTGCCGGGAACACCAGGAGCCCAGGAGGGGAAAGAACTGGTCAGGAAGGGAAAATGGGAGTCCAGGGAAGGAAAAGGGGAGTCCAGAGAGGGGAAACAGGTCAGGAAGGGAAAATGAGAGTCCAGGGAAGGAAAAGGGGAGTCCAGAGAGGGGAAACAGGTCAGGAAGGGAAAATGAGAGTCCAGGGAGGGAAAAAAGGAGCCCAGAGAAAGGAAAGAACTGGTCAGGAAGGGAAAATGGGAGTCCAGGGAGGGGAAAGAACAGATGAGAAAGGGAAAGAGGAGCCCAGGGAGGGGAAGGAGCAGCTCAGGAATGGAAAAAGGAGCCCAGGCAGAGAAAATTGGAGCCCAGAGATGGAAAAGAGGAGACCAGAAGGGAAAATGGGAGCCCAGGGAGGGGAAAGAGGAGCTCAGGGAGAGAAAATGGGAGCACAAAAGAGGGAAGAGTGGCCCAGGGAGGGAAAAGAGGAGTCCAAGAAGGGCAAGAAGAGACAAAGGAAGGAGAAGAGGAGTCCAGGGAGGGAAAAGAGGAGCCCAGGGAGAGAAAATGGGAGCCCAGGGAGAGAAAATGGGAGCCCAGGGAGGGGAAGGAGCAGCTCAGGAATGGAAAAAGGAGCCCAGGCAGAGAAAATTGGAGCCCAGAGATGGAAAAGAGGAGACCAGAAGGGAAAATGGGAGCCCAGGGAGGGGAAAGAGGAGCTCAGGGAGAGAAAATGGGAGCCCAGGGAGAGAAAATGGGAGCCCAGGGAGGAAAACAGGAGCCCAGGGAGGGAAAATGAGATCCCAGGAAGGGGCAAGAAGAGCTCAGAGAGCAAAACAAGACCCCCCAAAACCACAGCAGCCTGGTGACCTCTCCCCTCCCCGGGCAGGTGCGGGTCTGGCGCTACCTGAAGGGCAAGGACATCGTCACCCACGAGATCCTGCTGGACGGGGGCAACAAGGTGGTCATCGGGGGCTTCGGGGACCCGCTGATCTGTGACAACCAGGTGGCCACGGGGGACACGCGCATCTTCTTCGTCAACCCCGCGCCGCAGGCGCTGTGGCCGGCGCACCGCAACGAGCTCATGCTCAACTCCAGCCTGATGCGCATCACGCTGCGCAGCCTGGAGGAGGTGGAGCACTGCGTGGAAGGTGAGGACTTCGTGGGGATTTTTGGGGGTTTTTTTCTGGTTTTTTGGGGGTTTTTGTGAGGTTTTTGTGGGGTTTTTGTGGGATTCCCAGCCCCTGGATGGGCAGGGGTTCGTGGTTCAGCTCCAGCCTGATGCGCATCACGCTGCGCAGCCTGGAGGAGGTGGAGCACTGCGTGGAAGGTGAGGACCTTTTTTGGGGTTTTTTAGGGTTTTTGTGGGGGTTTTTTGGGGTTTTGTGGGGTTTTTTTTGGGTTTTGTGGGGTTTTTATGGGGTTACCAGCCCCTGAAACGCAGTTCAACTCCAGCCTGATGCGCATCACGCTGCGCAGCCTGGAGGAGGTGGAGCACTGTGTGGAAGGTGAGGACTTTGTAGGGTTTTTTTGGAGTTTTTGGGGGGTTTTCTTCGGTTTTATGGGGTTTTTGTGGGGTTACCGGCCCCTGGGTGGGCAGGGGTGCTGGTAGAGGGGTGTCGTGCTGGTTTGTGTGTGTTTAGGGTGGTGGTGGCACTGATTTTGGGGTTAGTGGGTGGTGGGCAGGTGATGATTTAGGATCCCTGCCCTGTCCCATCCCTGCTCCATCCCTGTCCCCCCCACAAGCCCTGGGGGGGCTCCCTCCCTGTGGCAGAAATGTGAAACACCCCCGGGCTGGTGGCAGGAGCTGAGAGGCTCCATTTGTTGAGCAAATTCCTGTGGAATTTTAATCTGGAGTGGGAGGCTGGGACATCCTGCAGCACTTCCTGCAGGATCAGCTCCCGAGGCTGCCCGGCCATTCCCCCTGCCCAGGAGCCCTGCACTGGTCAGTCTCTGCCCAGGAGCCCTGCACTGGCCAGTTTCTCTCTGTCCAGCGTCCCTGGACTGGTCAGTCTTTTCCCAGTAGCCCTGACCACTCTCTGCCCAGTCTCAGCCTGGTTTCTCCCTGCCCAGTAGCCCTGGACTGGTCAGTCCCTGCCCAGTCCCTGCCCAGTTTCTCTCTTCCCAGTAGCCCTGGGCTGGTCACTCTCTGCCCAGTAGCCCTGACCTGACCAGTTTCTCTTTTCCCAGTAGCCCTGACCAGTCCCTGCCCAGTTTCTCCCTGCCCAGTAGCCCTGACCAGTCCCTCCCTGCCCAGTCTCTGACCAGTTTCTCTTTTCCCAGTAGCCCTGACCAGTTTCTTCCCAGTAGCTCTGACTTAACCACTTTCTCTCTGTCCAGTAGCCCTGGACTGGTCACTCTTTTCCCAGTAGCCCTGACCAGTCTCTGCCCAGTTTCTCCCTGCCCAGTAGCCCTGACCAGTCCCTCCCTGCCCAGTCTCTGACCAGTTTCTCTTTTCCCAGTAGCCCTGACAAGTTTCTCCCTGCCCAGTATCCCTGAACTCACCAGTTTCTCTCTTCCCAGTAGCCCTGGAGTGGTCACTCTTTGACCAGTCCCTGCCCAGTCTCTGACCAGTTTCTCTCTGCCCAGCATCCCTGGACTGGTCAGTCTCTGCCCAGTAGCCCTGACCAGTTTCTGCCCAGTCTCTGCCCAGTTTCTCTCTGCCCAGTAGCCCTGGAGTGGTCACTCTCTGCCAGTCCCTGCCCAGTTTCTCTCTGCCCAGTAGCTCTGGACTGGTCATTCTTTTCCCAGTAGCCCTGACCAGTAGCCCTGACCAGTTTCTCTCTTCCCAGTAGCCCTGCAGTGGTCACTCTCTGCCAGTCCCTGCCCAGTTTCCCCGTGCCCAGCTGTGTTCCCATGCCCTGTCCTGGCACGGATCCTGCCCTGCCAGCCTGGAATTCCAGCTATGCCTCCCCTTGGGACCCTGCCAGCAGCTCCGGGCACTTCCCGGCCTCTTCCCAGGAATCTGGGCAGTGCCAGGGCTGGGAGGTGCCCCTGCTGCTGCTCCAGGGAGTTTGGGCACTCTCCAGGGGTGTGAGGGGAAAACCAGGGTCGTCATTGGTGCCTCAATTCCAGGGAATTCGGGGAATTTCAAGGGGTGCAGGAGGAATTTTTGGGGAGGTGCCACTGCTGCCTGCTCCAGGGAATTTGGGCAATTTCCAGGGATGTGAGAGGATTATCAGGATTATCATTGGTGCCTCAGTTCCAGGGAATTTGGGGAATTTCCAGGGATGTGAGGGGAGCATTGGGGAGCCCCACTGGTGCCTTTTCCAGGGAATTTGGAGAATCTCCCGGGGTGTGAGTGTGACATTGAGGAGGCACCACTGGTGCCTCAATTCCAGAGAATTTGGGGAATTGCAAGGGATGCAGGAGGAATTTTGGGGAGGTGCCACTGCTGCCTGCTCCAGGGAATTTGGGCAATTTCCAGGGATGTGAGGAGCCCATCAGGAAGGCACCACGGTGCCTCAATTCCAGGGAATTCGGGGAATTTCAAGGGATGCAGGAGGAATTTTGGGGAGATGCCACTGCTGCCTGCTCCAGGGAATTTGGGCAATTTCCAGGGATGTGAGGAGCCCATCAGGAAGGCACCACGGTGCCTCAATTCCAGGGAATTCAGGCAGTGCCAGAGCTCTCCAAGGGATGCAAGGGCAGCGCTGGGGAGGCCCCTGCCGTGCCCAGAGCAGCTTTTTCAGGATGTTTTTCCCCACCACACCGCATTTTGGGCTCTGCTGGGAGTGGAAAGAGCTGTGCTGTGGCTTTTCCACGGCGCTGGTGCAGCTGTGCCCTCCATGGAAGTGGAATTCTTTCCCACTCCAGCCCCCGGATGTGTCCCGTGGCGAGGTTTGTTTGCTGGTTTTATCTCCCGTGGCCCAGCTTTGTTTTGGAGCCGCTCAGTGGAACATCAAAGGGTGGATTTTCCCACCCACTCACTCAGGAAAACACTGGGGGCTGGGCTGGGTTTGGGTCTAGGGCTGAGTTTTTGGGTCCAGAGCTGATTTTTTGGGTCCATGGCTGGTTCTTTTGGGTCCAGGGCTGATTTTTTGGGTCCAGGGCTGATTTTTTGGCTCCAGGGCTGGTTTTTTTGGCTCCAGGGCTGGGTTTTGGGGGTCCAGGGCTGGTTTTTTGGGGTCCAGGTCTGGCTTTTTTGGGTCCAGGTCTGGCTTTTTTTGGTCCAGGGCTGTTTTTTGGGTCCAGGGCTGATTTTTTGGGTCCAGGGCCGGTTCTTTTGGGCCCATGGCTGCCTTTTTTTGGTCCAGGGCTGGTTTTTTGGGTCCAGGGCTGGTTTTTTTGGCTCCAGAGATACTTTTTTGGTGTTTTTTAGTCCAGAGCTGCTTTAATCCAGGACACATCCCAAACCTTCTGCCTTCCTTTTCCTGCCTTGGACAGACAGACCCAGGTTCCTGCTCTGCTTCCCCAGGATTTGCTCAGGGAAGGGGAAGGAGCTGGAATTTCCCTGCTGCTGGAGTGGGATGAAGCTTTTTTTGGGATGCAGCACCAGGAACCTGTCAGGGTTTCATGTCCAAATCTCTTTGGACACAACAGGATTCTTCCACTTGGAAGTGATGGATAAAAACTGCTGGGATGTTTGGGAGGGGTTTGCTCTGCTTCAGATTGAGCATTCCAGCCAAATTCCCTTTAAAGTCAGCATCCCAAAGCTTCTCCTGCCTCCAGCTGACCCCTCTGTGCTGCTGTGGCTCAAGGAAGCTGGCCAGGCCCCGTTCCCAGGCACTGGGGCAATCCAGAGAAATCCCAGCTGGAATTGTCCTTCCCAGCCCTGCACTTGTCCCTTCTGTGCCCAAGGGAGCCTTTTCCATCCTCTGGAAGCTCCTGGGGCTGCCAGGACGCCTCAGCAGAGTCCCTGCCTGTGGGTTTGGGGTTCAGGCTCGGTGTGGATCCCTCGGGATTCCCTCCAGCCCAGATCCCCATTTTCCATGGAGCTTTGGTCCTTCAGGCTGGGCTTTTCCAGCCTGGGAAAGGATGAACCAAAAGGGAAGAGAGGTTTTAGGAGGGTGAGGGACATTCCTGCTGCTGCAGCCTGTGGATTATCCCTCCTCCTCTTCCTCAGGAGCATCCCACGGGGCACTGGGAGCACTGGGAGCACTGGGAGCACTGGGAGCACTGGGCTCTGGTGTTTCCACGGCCTGAGCAGCAGCAGCAGTGTGCTGACAGCCCTGCTCCATCCCCGGGGGGGAGGATTTTGGACATTCCAGCCCCTGCAGGCGTGGGAACCCTTTGGAGAAGCTCTGGAATCCATCCCGGAGCAGGCAGCGGGTGAAGGGAAGCAGCAGAGGGGGCTGGGGCTGCTGCTCTGGGGACCCTGGGGACCCTCTGGCCGCCACATCTGCGGTGACACCAGGAGGGCCCAGCTCCCAGTCCTGCTCTCCACGCACAGCCCCTGCCTTTTGCTCCATTTTCCAGCAGGGAATTTGTTTTTTTTTTTTTTTTTCCTGAGAGCTCTGAAGCCTGACCCCGTGCCCTGGGATCTGCAGGACAGACACTTCCCAGCTGTCTGTCTGTCTGTCTGTCCAGAGGGCTCCCAGGGGGTGGCCCTGTCCAGGAGAAGGCTGGAATGTGGCCCCAGGAGCTGTGACCTGGGAAGGGCCTGGGGCAGCTCAGGGTGCTCGTCCTGGAATCCAGGCTGTGGGTGGCGAGGGGGGAAAGTCACATCTCAGCTCTGGAATGGGTGGAGAATGGATAAAAAATGATAAAAATGGATAAAAAATGGATAGTTGGCTCTGCTGGGTCATTCCAGCTGCACCATAAGGAGGAGGTCAGGCCTCAGTTCCTCAGGGAACTCCTTGTTCCCTTCCAGTTGGATATCAGGAAGAAATCCTTCCCTGTGAGGGCCTGGCCCAGGTTGTTCCATGGATTCCCCATCCCTGGAGCAGCCTGGCACCATGGGAGGTGTCCCATCCCTGCTGGGGCTGGGATTTAAACCCCTCCCAAGCCCATCCATGATCCCAAAACTCATCCAGGGGCTCGGTGGCTGCTCCAGCCCCAGCCCTGCAAGGGAAATACAGGTTGGATTTTGGGATAAAGTTTTTTTACAGAAAGATGAGGAAGTTTTTCACAGAAAGGTGATGAAGTTCTGGAGTGGCTGCCCAGGGAGGTGCTGCAGTCCCCATCCCTGGGTGGGTTTAACAAAGCCTGG